AACTCTTTACAATTTGTATAATGATCTGGAAAAAAAGAGATCAAAGGCACGGATCAAAGGCACAGAGATAGGTTAGAAAGTGATTGTGAAGAGGACATAAGGAGCCAGTAAAGGATATAGACAGGTGAAGTGAGTGGGCAAAAATATAGTAAAGGGAGTACAATGTCGGCAAGTGTGAAATTTTCCATCTTTCTGCCAAAATGGACAAACATATTACCTAAATTAGCAGAGCTCTGAGAACCAGAGAGATCTAGGTTCCCTAACACATGAATTAAAAATAGTTAGTATGCAAGTATAGCAAGTAACCAGGAATGCAATTAAAATGACATGGTTTATTGTGATGGAAACTGAACGCAAGGGTAGGGAGGTTATGCTTCAGTTGTACAGGGCGTTGATGTGACCGAATCAGGAGTACTGTGCACAGTACAGGTCATCATAATTATGGAAGGATGGAAACAATTTTTCCATACTAACACCTGGAACAAGCAGATTGCCTTATGGGGAAGGGCTGGACAGGCTCAGCCTGCATCCTCTGGAATTTAGAACAGTCAGCAGAATTAATTATAACATAACATCCTGCGAGGACTTGAATGCAGAAAGGACACTTCCTCTTGTTAGAGGATCTAAAAGAACAGGTCAGAGCGTAAAAATAAGGGTGTGCCCATTTAAAACAGAAGTGATGAAACATTGTTTTCTCTCCAAAGGTGGTGAGTCTTTGAAATTCTCACCCTCAATAGCAAAAGTAGATAAATTCTTCATGACCAAGAGGATAGGGGATAACAATCATCAGGAATTTGCAGGAATACAGAGTTGAGGTCAAAATTGGCCATGATCTTATTGAATGGCAGAGCAGTCTTGAAGGACTGAGTGGCCTACTATTGTTTTTATGTTCTTGGCATTTAGTCTACACTTTTAGATATGGGGAATTTAGAAAAAAGTATCTGTTGATTAATCTGCATTATGTTAGTCTTCATCACTGTAGTAGATACAAATTATATTCCGTAAGTAATTGTGATTCAGAACATGAACGGAGAAAGAAACAAAACAATTACCATCACCAGGGAAAGAGCATTAAGGAAATATTAGAAATAAACCCTGCCAAGTCTCCCCTGCCCTGGTGGACTTCATTCTAGGGTCTTAAATGAATTGTCAATATACTGGATGCTAAGTCTTTAAAAACTTTCTAAAGTTCCTCAGAGTCTAGAAAGGTCCCACCAGAAAAATATTAGGCAACTCTGTTCAGGAAAGGAGGGAGACAGAAAGCAGGAAACTGCAAGTCAGTTAGTTTAACATCTGTCACAGTGAAAATGCTAGAATCCACTATTAGAAGATTATAGTGCGGCACTTCAAAAATCTTAATGTTGTCAGGCAGAGTCAATGTGGTATTGTGAAAAGGAAATCACTAATTTATTTTGAACATACATACACTGAATTTATTTTGTTTCTTACTCAAAAGTAATGTCATTAAAGGATAACCAGTTGATGTACTACACATAGACTGATTGGCTAATAGGATGTACAGGATAGGAATAAGTGGGCTGTTTTCAGATTGCCAGTGTGTGAAGTAGTGTATAAGATGTCGACAATTTAGAATTTATATCAATGACTTGATTGAAGGTATGGTTGCTAGATTTGCTGATGACACAACAAAGGTAGGAAAATAAGTTGAGGAGGTCATAACGATCAAAAGAATTTAGACGTCTGAAATGGCAGGACAAAAAAATTAGCAGGTGAAGCACAATTTGGTGAAAATGTGAACTTGTCCATTTTGGCAGCAAGAATAGAAATGCAACATACTATTTCAAAGCAGAGAGTTGCAGAACCCAGTGATAGAGAGAGAGACTGGGAGCGGCAAGGTGTTCTTTGTGAAAAGGTTGGGCAGTTTAGGCCTGCATCCATCGAAATTCATTCAACAGGAAGGATGCTAAAAGGATGACTCCCTTTATGGGAGGGACTATAATTGACATCAGAGACTGATAAAGAAGGTAAAAGCATGGTAACTTGGCAAGATAGCTCATAAATTGGCTTAGCCTTAAGAGACAGACTGGCAATTGAAGGTTGTTGTGTGACTAGGGCCTGCTATATAACGGCATACCACAAGAATCAGTGCTGGTCCTTGATTGCTCATGATTCATACAATACCAATTAGATGAGAATGTGAGGGAGTTGATAAATAGGTTTGTGAATGACATGAAGATCGGACACGTAGCTAACAGCGAGAAGATCTTAGGTTACACAAAGATATAGACAGGTTGGGCAGATCAATGGCAGATGGAATTAAACTCTGAAAAATGAGGTGATGCACTTTAGATGTAACAAGACATGAATTGTGGGACACTACGAAGGTCAGAAAAACAGAGATCTTGGGGTGCTTGTGCAGAGATACCTGAAGGAAGCGGGACAGGTTAACAAAGTGATTAAGGCAGCACAGAGGACACATGCTTTTATCAGTTGTCGCATAGATTATAAGAGCAGGGAGGTTATATTGAAGCTGTGAAAAATTTTAGTCAGGAATACAGTGTGCAGTTCTGGTTGCCATGGGATGTGATTGCAGTGGAGGGGCCGCAGAAGAGATTCACTAGGCTGTTGCCTGGGTTAGAGCATTTTAGCTACAAAGACAGGCTAGATAGGGTCAGGTTGTTTTTTTGAGCAGAGAAGGCTGACGGGAAACCTGATTGAGGTGTATAGGATTATTACAGGCAGGGACAGGATGGCGTGAAAGCAGCTGCTCCCTTGAGATGAACGGTCAATAACTAGAGGGCATAGTTTTAAAGTGAAGGCCAGGCGGTTTAGAGGCGATTTGAGGAATGTTTTTTCACCCAGCAGGTGGGGGAAGTCCGGAATACACGGCCCAGAAAGAGGGAAGAGGTCGAAAACCTTTGAATCTTTAAAAAAGTACGTGGATGAGTACTTGAAATGTCGTAAGATTCAAGGCTATGCATCAAGTGCTGGAAAATAGTTTTAGAATAAATAGATCAAGCGCAAATCCGAAGTGCCAAAGGGCCTCTTCTGTGCTGCATGACAATGACTCTCTGCTACTGGTCCTACTTTCAGTCAGAAAACAGCAACAGTCAGCCTCAAATAATTTAAAGCTCATTGAATTGCAATGACCTAGAATTTGTAGGAAATATGCAATTTAGGATTTGGACTGATTTTTTTTGTCCAATCTTTTCATTGTGAAGAGAACTTAAAATTTCCAGGAAAAGTAAAGTGGTTAGGTTTCATCAATCACAATGGCAAATCTCAAATAGTTAATGGCTTATGCTAGCTGCAATTATACATGCTGAGTCATAGAAGTCACAAATATAAGAAAAATGCAAACAAACCATCCAAAAACAAATCTGTGCATATCTTTCAGTACTGACCACCAATTTAAAACCATGCTGGAAAGAATAGTGTATACTAAATAGAAAAGCAATCTGCAAGCTTTTCTTAGCCTCTCTCTAATGTACTGTACAGGAAACCAATATAACCTGGACAAATGTCACCAAGAATTTTAATAGTCCTCAAATTCAGCATTTCCCATAAGCCACAAATGCCAACTGTTCAATTTGGATTGTAGTTAACACAAATACAAACCAGGTTCTAGTATTTTTAAATCAGTTATCTAATTATACAACATGCAATAAAAATTAAACCATCCATTCTTTACGATCCACTTTCTAAATCCTTTCAAACCTGACCCCTTTCTGGAAGCAATCTAAAGCACAAAGGCTTTCCATGTACTGAAAGGAAGACATAATGACACAATGAGCCAAAAGCAGAATTGAAACTGAAACAAAAGACTTCTGTGCTGTAGACTGCAGTACACCAGATGTATGGAAAAAAACAGTAATGCTGACATTAATTGCACATTTAAACATTATCTCTAGTTTTGAAAAGCCTTTCTGCATATGCAAGAAGCAGATAAGTGAATACACGTTCGTCGCGATCCATTTTCTGAACGAATGTATAGGCTTTCGTAATGAAATCGATTTACTCGGCACGTACATTTGTCCAGATTCAGATATTTCTTGGCTGTCAAACCGGAATAGATATGCAATGTCATACAATACCTAATAAATAATCAAACCTTAACGTTCGACCTTCATATGTGCAGCTGCACAAATGTTCATACATGCTGTCTTGCAAACAACCCCAATCCGGACTATGTTTCAGCATCAATTTTATACAATTCATCACACTGATAAAGAAACACATGTTCACATAGAAAAACAAAAAATTTCGAAAATGTCCTCCATCCAACTGAGAAACCGACACACCGGTTAACACGAAAAGAGCAAATACAACATTTATAAAATCCCTAGTGTGGAAGCAGGACACTAGGCCCATCGAGTCCGCAGCGACTCTCCCAAGAGCATCCCCATTCGGACACGCCCCATCCCTACAATTCACAAGGCCAATCCACCTAATCTGCTCATGTTGGGACTGCCGGTGAGGGGGAATACCCAAATAGACATGGGGAAAATGTGCAAATTTCACACAGACAGTGCGAATGAACCCGAGTCCCTGGCGCTGTGAGGCAGCGGTGCTAACCACCGGACCACCGTGCTGAAACAAATTGCTCGAACCGAGTCTTAAAGGGGGGAATGAAATACAAATTCGCAACAGCATGATTGTGGCTTTGAGAATTAGAATCATCAAATTAAACCCAAGGGGAAGAAACATGTCGGTAGTACTGTACACCTGGGCCTAAAGAGAAATCCCTTGACCAGCTTTAAAATCCAACAGAAAGAATATCTAGTATTCACTGCGGCCGGGGGGGTGGCTGCGCTGGTTGAGAGTGTTGAACATAAGATGGTGGTAAAATTAGGCAGCTAGTTGAGAGGCCGGCCAGTGCAATGCCAGAGGCTAACAGGCATTTCACCGCTAATCATCACCTGAGGAAGGGAAGTAGGGCAATTGGGCACTGAGTAAGCTGCAGACAGCGCACAATCGTGTAGAAAGGGAAAAGCAGCTACCATGAGAAAAACAGCCACAGACCACACAGTAATACTCACAAGTTCGCTGTTGCGCGACCGCCACCATCTCACTGATTAATTGGAACTAATTCCACATCCGGGAAACTCCACCGCGACAACAGGCAGGAACTGCATCATCACGTTGGCGATCAAGGTCCCGCCCCCGACGTCGGGCAACAGGCAATACTGCGCTTGCGCAGCCCCTGGGAAGAAGGCGTGGCAGTATTTACGATAAAAGGAGACGCCAGAGAACGTATCATGGGGCATGGTGTGTGTGTGTGTTTCTGTCTGTCGGGGGTGGGGGTGTCCGGGTTTGAGTCTAGAGCATATTTTGCTAAGGAGTGGCTCCGTAATGACCGATAAAGGAACGGGCTGAAGGGCCTGTTCCTTTGCTGTAATTTTCTTTGTTCTTTGTTTTTTTCCCTTGCCTGTATTGACCTCTATCAGAACTTGGGTGTTCATATAACCAGACGTTTATTTTGATTGGTTCTGATTTGGATGTTGCTAAGCAATTTAACTGTTCCAAACCAGCTGTAGGCGGACTTTCCAGGGTGTGCACTCTCCTGGATACCACCTTATGAGTTCCCTACTCAAGTCAGGCCGAGTGGGACTCCTTTGCTGTCTTGTCACCGCAAACCAGCAACAACTACAATGGTCTGCTAGCCTGGATCCAAAAGAAAATGCGAGCCATTTGACCAAGGCTTGGCTTTGTTTTGGGATTTTGCTGTGGACTAACCTAGAGTCCCTCTGCTCCGGATATTTCCTGAGTGAGGCTATGTGTTCAATTCCCGAAATAAAAAGGAACGAGTGCACAATCTTTTTAAATATCTGCCTTTGCTTCTTATTGTGTGTTGATTACGTGATTACAAGTTAAGACCTCTGCAGCAACAGCCTTTCTGTGCCGTCCTACATTTTTTTTACTTGATTCTCCCTTAAACCACAAACTGTTCTCCATATCCCAACCACAAGGTCTAAGCCACGGTTTGTTTGGAAATATGCTTATGTCTGCTTCTAACTGATTTCAACTGGACTTGCAAGTTCCCTTTCTGCATTAGTATTTGCAATTTAACCCTGGTTCTGTTTAGCTTAATTACACAATTTTCAATATACTCTACACGATGCAATTGCCTTCACTCAAGTAGTGCCCCCAAGCTCAGTCAGCCCTGGCGAGGCTGTCCACTTCCATTTGAATCCCCTGACACTCATATGCTCCACTGCTGCATTTCCCAATGATAAAGCCAGGTGTTGAGCCTGTTTAATGTCCTGTTCAGCTTCAGCAACTAGGCACTTTTGCATGGTTACATCATTAATCTCACATACCAAATGTTCTCTCAGCATTTCATTAATGTTTAAACCAAAGTCACATACCTCTGCCAATCATCGTATCCTCATCAAAAATCTCGACATGGATTCCCCTGGTTCTTGAAATGCCAAGTAAAACCAATAGTATCATAGAATTAGAGGAGGCTTGGGTCATAATATTCTTTACCCAAATCCATTAACTCTTGAAAGCCTCTAATATCTGGTGTCTCGGGAAATGTTAAGCTCCTAATAATTGAAAAAGCTGTGGTTCCACATGCTGTCAGGAGAATTACTCATTGCTTTTCATCTGCCCCAATGTCATTTGACTGGAAAAAATGACATTCTTTCTACATACTGGGCTCAGTCTTGGACAGTGGGATTGAATGGGTCAAACTTCCCAAATAGCGCCATGATACCAGAAATGCTTACTCCAACTGAAAGATGGTGTTGCGAGCAAATTTCCTCAAGGGCATGTTTATCTCTCATTCCACTGAAATAACTCCATGAAGGCCAGTATTCCATCACCGAGTCACCTTTTATTTACACATGCATCATATTTGACACTGGTCCAGCTAGCCCAAAGCCAGCTCTTAGAGTGAGCAGAACCCCTGACACACCTATTTCTATCTGTCAGCCAGGGCTCCTGATCGGGCACGATTAACAGTGTCAATCAGGGAACTCATATTCTATTATGTACATCTGGCTGACCTCATTACAATCACGACACCAGCAATCATCATATCATCTGTCAACTATCTGATCAACCCTATTGGATTCCAGCCGAAATAGCTCTGTTGAAGTTTCTATCTTTTCTGCATTGTTTTTGAGTTTTGAAGTTCTAAGCTATCACCCATCATAGTGCAAACCCTCATCATTCCTCCCATCAATATTCTTCAGCTGATGATGCATCTCTTCACAATATCTGCACATGACACCCAGCTTTCTTGAGAGTAGATTCTTCTTCACTCAGGGGTCAGTGCTGGGACTTTTGTTATTTATTATTTATTATAAATGATCTCGATGTGAATGTACAAGGGATCTTAGTAACTTTGTGGATGATACAAAGTTGGGAGGTATCGCTGATAGCCAAGAAGGTTATCAAAAATTACAGAGGGATCTTGATCAGGTGGGAAAGTGGTCTGAAGATTGACAAATGCACTTTTGTCAATTTTGCACTTTGGAAAGTCAAACCAAGATAGTAATGATGTAATAAATGGTAAGTGTCTGAGGAGAGTTGTAGAACGGAGGGACCTTGGAGTATAAGAACATAGTTAATTGAAAGTGGCGTCACAGGTGGACAGAGTGGTGAAGAAGACATTTAGCATGCTGGCCTTCACTGGCTGAGGCATTGAGTATAGGAGTTGGGATGTTATGTTACAGTTGTATAAGTCGTTGGTGAGGCTGCACTTGGAGTATTCTGCACAGTTTTGGTCAGCCTGTTATAGGAAAGACATAGTTAAACTCGAAAGTGTGCAAAGAAGATTTACAAGGATGTTGCCAAGACTAGTAGGCCTGAGTTATAGGGAGAGGTTGGCCAGGATAGGACTTTATTCCTTGGAATGTAGGAGAATGACAGGTCACCTTATTGAGGTGTATAAAATCATGAGGGGCACAGATAAGATGAATGCATATAGTCTTTTTTTCCAGAGATGGGAATTGAAAGCTAGAGGACAGAGATTCAAAGTGAGAGGGCAAAGATTTAAGAAGGACCTGAGGGGCAACTTCTTCACGCAGACAGTGGTGTGTATATGGGATGGGCTGCCAGAGAAAGTGGCAGGTACAGTAGCAACATTTAAAAAACATTTGGATAGATACATGGATGGCAAGAATTTAGAAGGATATTGACCAAATGTGGGCAATTGGAACTAGCTGAGTGGGCACCATAGTCAGCATGGACCAGTTTGGGCTGAAGGGTCTGTTTCCATGTTATATTACTCCATGACTCTATGTGCTCTAAAACATGGATCTCTTGTTCTCAGGACAGACCCGTCTCTGAAAAACATTATCCTCCATTTCTTGATGCCCACAATATTCAGATTAAGTCAGTCACATATCAATTAATATCCTCCTCCCTTACATAGGAATTAGGAGTGGGAATAGGCAATTCAGCCCTTTGAGCCCATTTCACCATTTAACCATTTAACATGATCATGGTTGATCTTATCTTTAAATTCAACTCCACTTTCCTGTCCGGCCCACATGGTCCTTTATCATGCTTTTCATCTGAAACTTATCTATTTCTTTCCTGAATCTTTTGATTGATTCTGTGTCCACTGCGTTCTGGGGCAGTGAGCTCCCCAAAATCAGAACCCTCTGAGAAGTCGTTTCAGCTCATCTCAGTTTTGAATCTACCTCCTCTCACTTTATTTTTTTTTTAAAGGATCCCTACAGTGTGGACACAAGCCATTTGGCCCAACAAGTCCACACCAACCCTTTGAAGAACATCCCACCCAGACCTATCCCTCTACCTTATCCCTGTAACCCTGGCATTTCCCATGGTTAACACACCTAACCTATACATCCCTGAACACTGTGGGTAATTTAGCATGGCCAATCCACCTAACTTGCACATTTTTGGACTGTGGGAGGAAACAGGAGCACCATAGAAACCTATGCCCTCCTGTTTGAGACTGTCCCTCAAGGAGGAACGTACATTGACTGTTCACCGTATCAATTCTCTTTAGCATTTTATATCTCAATCAGATCAAGCCCTCATTTCTTCTGAACTCCAGTGAGTACAAGCTCAAGCTATTCAACCAATCCTCATACAAAAGCCCTTTCATCCCTGGAATAAACATGTGAACCTCCTCTGAATTGCCTCCAGTGCCACCAAATTCTTCCTCAAGTAAGGAGACCAAAACTGGACACAATATTCCAGGTGTGGTCTCACCAACACTTTACATAAATGTAATAACACTTCTTTACTGACTTTAGAGTATCTCATTTACCTCCAGGGTGCAGTAAAGCATTTTGCACTCTTTCTCCAACACTAATGCTACAATAATTGATCACAAGGATTTTCAAATTTGGTCTAAATGTATTTTTATCTCTACAAGAAGCAGTACTGGAAAATCAAAGCAATACTGTCTCAACTATAACTCAAAGTCGTGAATGAAGTTGCAGGCTAATGTTTTAAATTGCTGTTCCTAACAGTGGCTGCCTCAAAAGCCATTGAAGTCCATTTACTTTAGCAGAAGGCTTCTGTTGGCAGCGAACAGATGTTTTCTGCTGTATTCAGAGTGCAGGGATGGGACGTGTCCTGGCTCCACAGGCTTAACTGAGATAAACTAAGACCAGAGGTCAGACTTCCAATCTGTAAAGTCTGGAATAGGCGCAGGCAACTCCAGAGCGTAAAGAGTTGCTGCCTGCTATAGATGCGATCTTGATGCAAGACCTGTCTGTGCTCTGGCACTTTGGTGAAGATCAATAACAAGCTAACTGAACTAAAACACTCCATCCTCCCAAACAATCCGCCCATGCTCCATCTGTGTGAATCCAAACCATGTTAAACTAAATTTTTTTTAATAGAATCCCTATAGTGTGGAAACAGGCCCTTCAGCCCAAGTCCACACTGATCTTTGGAACATCCCACCCAGACCCTACCCCCATAACTCATACATCCCTCAACACAATGGGCAATTTAGCACAGCCAATCCACCAAACCTGCACATTTTTGGAGATAGTAGGAACTGCAGATGCTGGAGAATCCGAGACAACAAGGTGCAGGGCTGGATGAACACAGCAGGCCAAGCAGCATCATAGGAGCAGAGAGGCTGACGTTTCGGGCCTAGACCCTTCATCAGAAGAGGGGGAGGGGAAGGGGGTTTTGAAATAAATAGGGAGAGAGTGGGAGGCGGATAGAAGAGGGATAGAGGAGAGGATAGGTGGAGAGGAAACAAACAGGTCGAAGAGGCGGGGATGGGGCCAGGAAAGGTGAGTGTAGGTAGGGAGTTAGGAAGGGGATAGGTCAGTCCAGGGAGGACGGACAGGTCAAGGGGGCGGGATGAGGTTGGTCGGTAGGAGATGGAGGTGCGGCTTGGGGTGGGAGGAGGGGATAGTCTGCACATTTTTGGACTGTGGGAGGAAACCCACGCAGACACGGGGAGAATGTGCAAACTCCACACAGACAGTCACCCAAGGGTGGAATCAAACCCAGGTCCCTGGCGCTGTGAGGCAGCAGTGCTAACCACGGTGCTGCCCCAGATCTCACAACTCACACCACCATACCCTCTCTGCCTCCCTGTGACTTGCAAACAGTCTCTTATTCCCCGAGTGCATCCTAAGCCATGTCAACACTCCATAATGTTATGGATCAGTGAATGTCACTGTGTAGAACACTCCAGTTGGTAGAAGCAATCAGTTTAATATACTCAAATTCCTCCAACTAATCCCATATGAGCACAAACATTTGGCTTCGAAATTTGAGTTTGACACTTACAATGAATTTGTTCATTTTTATTGCAAATTCATGGATTGTTTGACAATCCAAAAGGACAATCCAAACATGTTGTGGAACCAGGAACAAAAACAGAAGTTGCTGGAAGCTCAGCAGGTCTGGCAGCATCTGTGAAGAAAAAATCGGAGTTAACGTTTTGGGTCCGGTGACCCTTCCTCAGAACTCGGGCACGAAACGTTAACTCCGTTGTTTTCTTCACAGACGCTGCCAGACCTGATGAGCTTCCAGCAACTTCTGTTTTTGTTCCTGATTTAAAGCATCCACAGTTCTTTTCGTTTTTATGCTGTGGAACCATATCCTTATTTATCCAGATGGACATCCTGGCTAATCTAATGTATCCATATAATCTGAACCTGATACTGCATGCAGTTTGTTTTTCATGCTATGCCAAAGCCCCATTTCAGTGAAGGCAGCTGGTGATTTAAATGGCTACATACCCGCTAAAAGGTCTGTGCATGAAACCCAGTGTTTTTCCAGACTCGCCCCTGCAGAGATGAGACATCCTGCATGTAAACAAAAGCCTTCCAACGTTGAGCCACTTCTGCCATTTTCACATTTGTGATGATAACCTAGCTCCATGTTTCTTGTGGTGTATAAAATGATTTTTCCTTCATTTAATAAATACTTTGCTGGAATGCCAATGACAATTGTAAGCCTTAGTATTTACATGGAAACAGTTCACAAAGATATTTCTCCAAATAAAGTAGACCTGTCACTAGGATTAATATATAAGCCAGCAGACAGGGTACCCCTGCTTTGATGAACTCTGGGAACCCCCACCTGGTGCAATTGCCCAATAAAGTACACTGTTCACTGGTTAAATTGCAATGATACAGCAGTGAAGTTCCTGCTTAACTAACAATCTTTTCTGTGTTTCTATTAAATATGTGGACATACTACCAAGTGAGAAAGAGGAACAGCATCCAAAAGAGAAATTTGATAGACGTGGCCCTGATTAGTTAAGGTGTTACCAAGGACATTAACCAGTTGATGATGATTGACAGTTAACTTCAAGACTTTGTTTCAATTTTAAACCGAACAGCTTGATTCTGATTGGTCAAGGTATTGCACTGAGAAATAGTAATCAGAGAAAGACTTCCACCTTGTTTTGTGGAGTTAAATATGCACAATGCATGCAAGTATCATTTCTGTATGCAGACAGTGGGGTCCTGAACAAGTTTGATGTTGAAATAGAAAAACATCAAGGCTATCCTGCAGGATAATGGTTACTTTGAACTCCCTGGCAGCAACTCAACCAACGAGAATCCAACTGTCAACCAATCAATAATCTTTCTTCATACACTAAAACAACGTTGCTCTTGCCCTTAAATTGGCATTCTTGCAAATTGTCCTGATGATTTTTTTTTTGTTTTGATTTGATTTAGTATTGTCACATATACTTAGGCACAGTGAAAAGTTTTATGTGATGAGTGCAAGAAGAAAATCTTTGACAAAATCTACATTTTGTCAGTGTTACGGACCAGACTAGAACCCCTCAAAATACTTGAAGAAGGTAGCCTAGATCCTTACCTTTTCTCACTTTTAAAGGAAAATGGGAATTTTCTGTTCCAGATGCAATGTGACTGGTCAAACTACTCAATGTTACGCAAAACGCGATTTATTTAAACACTGTACTTAAAATACAACTAAAGAAAGGGGAATATAGAATAATTGGAACCTTAACAGTGTTATAGATACGGTGACTATTAATAATTAACTGTTCCAATAAAGTAACATCCCATAAACACACCCCTTAGCAAAGAAGGAAAATTCAGACACAGATTCTCACATGTAGTTCTCCAATCGAGGAGGAGAAAACATCAAGGGAAAATTCAGAGACAGTAGCAGCCAGGAGGCATTCACTGAAGCTTCCGACTGTGTTGAGACCCAAATAGCTTCTGATGCAACTGAGAAACCAAAACCCAGAAATCCTGATCTATGAGAGCTGGCCACACCCATTCAGGCTATTTTTTTTAAAAAAAACTAAGACCTCCCAAGCTGTTTACTAAAGTGGTCTTAACAAGCCAGCTCTGAACCTCTTATTCAATCTCTCTCTGAAAAACCAGGACAAAATAACCTCTTAAATAACGTTGTCACATCAGCAACTTGCAAGTTCTGGAATTCTGGAATTTTCCCAAGCCACTTCATGTGGATTGATAGTAGAGATGCTGCCTAGCTGCAACTTCAAAACTAATATTGAACTGTGATTGATGCATTTTACAATGTTTACCACAGTGAGTCTATTGCACATTATATGTTGTCTTCTGTGCCTTCCCAACAGATCAGCTTCTTTTCTCTCTCTCTCTTCTTTACAGGAACAGATACAATTTGTTTTGTACACAAGCTATGAAAGAATCATAGACCAAGCCATGTCACGGGAATGTAAACATAATCTTTATGCTGATTGGATTTAACAGATCAATTAGTCAAGGAAAATGTGGTAGGTACATGAGCATGAATGAAGCTGTCTTAAGTTTACGTGTTAAGCCTGAGCTTGCCAGGAAAGTTGCATCTTCTCGCCCCTCACATGAGGTGTACTGACCCCTCAGTTCAGCCACCACCAGATGCCTCTGTCTCTAATGAGAAAGCAGTCCAATTATCCTCTTGGGACAATGGCGATGTTACTTACAATATACAACCATGGATTGAGAATGGATTGGCAGACAGAAATCAGAGGACAGAATCCCACAGTCCTCAAAAACATGGCATGAATTTGGGCGTTTTAGATGAGAATTTGAGTGACACCTTTCTTGGCATTGGGAGCAACAACTTGTATTTTCTCACAGAGTCCCGGACATCGAGATGAGATTCTCGCTAGGGAGTGGCAAACTGCCTATTAGGGATTATTTCTCGTTGTCACCTCCATAAGGAAGTAGTTGATGCCAAAACATTGAATGTATTCAAGAGGTGACTAGGTATAGCACTTGGGACGAATGGGATTAAAGGGTATGGGGAGAAAGCAGGATTAGGCTATTGAGTTGGATGATCAGCCATGACCATGGAGAATGGCAGAGCAGATGTGAAGGGCCAAATGGCCTCCTCCTGCTCCTATCTTCTTTGTTTCTATGTAATCTGGCTTCATTCATAAGCAGGTTCCAATTCCTGCACTCGATAGATAGAGACCAGACTCAGAAAATTTCCGGCATCAGAGCAGATGCCTGGTGATTCTGGGTCGCAGCTTTCTCCTCTGGACTTCCATCTTGGACACATGGAACCAACACCTCAGGGCATGCTCCGTGAACAACAATCTCACCTTCACATACAACACCTTCCACATCAGACACAACTCCAATCTTCAGTAGTACTCAGAAGTAGTACTCTTCAGCACTTTATTGCATAGCTCCTGAAAATAGTCACACAAGTCGTTTAGGGTGGGAATGATGGCATAAGGCATGCTTGCCTTTATTGGTAGGGGCATTGAGTGCAAGGGTCAGGATGTCATGTTGCAGCTTTATAAGACTTTAGTTAGGCCACACTTAGAGTATTGCATTCAATTCTGGTCGCCACATGACAGGAAGGATGTGGAGGCTTTGGACAGGTGCAGAAGAGGTTTACCAGGATGCTGCCTGGATTAGAGAGTATGGGGGTATAAGGAGAGGCTAGAAAAACTTGGGTTGTCTTTTGAGCAGTAGAGGCTGAGGGGGCCATTTATAGAAGTTGGTAGAATTATGAGCTGCATAGCTAGAGCTGACAGTCAGAATCTTTATCCCAGAGTTGAAATGTCTAAAACTGGGGGCATGCTTTTAAAGTAAGGTGTTTGGAATTGGTAGAAGTTCAAAGGAGATGATAGGTGTATGTTTTTTACTTCGTGAGTGGTAGGTGTCTGGAACACACTGCCAGGGGTGTGGTGGAGGTACAATGGGGGAGTTTAAGAGAATTTTAGATAAGCACATGAACATGTAAGGAATGGAGGGATATGGAATAACAGCAGGCAGAAGGGATTAGTTTTATTTGGCATCATGTTCGGCATAATATCATGGGCCGAAGGGCCTGTTCTTGTGTTGTACTGTTTTATGTTCTCTGTTATAATTTTATGTGCATCTGCACCTATCATTACAATGTTGCTGCAGGAATATAGTGTGCATGTGGAGATAGGCACCCAACTAATGATAAGGCTGCATCTCAGGACTGATTGCTTGCTGTCTTAGCACTCACTCACTTTAAACATATCTAAAACATGCAGTATCCCTGCCTTGCCCTTCCCTTACATCACATTTTAATGCTGACATCTGTCATACTTATCAGCAGTGATCAGTCCTTGTTATATGGATCTGTGCCATGTCAGCTTCACACGTGCACCATGTGCCAGCAACTTACATTGCAGACACACTGCATGTTCCTATGTGCTTTAACCGTAACATTTTAACAGTATTTATAGATCATCAACTGCATTAACATTGCCTCCAGGGTTATGGGCCGAGAACCCAAAAATGGGATGTTTTCAGTCATGGGCTGAATGAACTCCTTTTGGGCTTTGGACATTGATGTGTTTATAAAGAAGGCTTTCATTTCTAGTCCCTTTTCCACTTACATTCCATGATCCCTTTGAAGCTTTATGTCAGTTTCAGAACTTCTAGTTTGCAGGGCCCAGTCGCCTCCTTTTTACCATGGACATGCAATACCTTTACATGTCTTTCCCCTATCAGATGGTCTCAGGGCTCTCCACTTCTGCTTGGGACAAAGACCTAAACCATTCCCATCCACCACCACTCTCCTCCGCCTGGCCAAGTTCATCCTTAATCTGAACAGCTTCTCTTTTAACTCCTCTCACTTTCTTCAGGTCAGAGAGTTGGCCATGGGCATACACATGTGCCCCAGTTACTGCCTGGCCCTTTGAAGGGTACTTGGAAGATTTCTTGCTCCAGTCTTATTCTGGGTCACCCCACAACTCTTTCTTCAATATATCGATGATATCATCTGTACTCCTTCCCTCTCCCATCCAGAATTGGAAACGCTTATCAATTTAGCTTCCAATTTTAACTAGTACATCTCTGACTCTGCCCTTCCTTTCTTGACATTTCTGTTTCCATTTCTGGGGATTGGCTGACCACCAACTGCCAATATGAACCCCACCGACTCAATTACCTTGACTGTGCATTCTCACACCCTGCTTCCTGAAAAGACTCTATTCCACTTTTCCAGTTCCTCCATCTCAGTCGCATCTGTTCTCATGGAGCCAACTTCAACAAAGGGCCCACCTTCTTCCTCAACCGAGGATTCCCCACCTGGGTCCGACCTATCTCCTTCACTTCAGCCCTCACCCCCTTTCTTGCCTCCCACAACAGCGATAGGGTCCCCCTTGTCCTCACCTACCATTCCACCAGCATCCACAATTAGAGGATCATTAGCCACCAATTCCGCCACCTCCAGTGTGATGCCACCACCAGACACATATTCCTCTCCCCTCCACTGTCAGCCTTCTGCAGAACTGTTCCCTCTGGGACATAGTGGTATAATCCTTCTTTACTCCCAACACCTTTCCATGCAACAGCAGAAGTCGAAACACCTGATTGTTCACTTACTCCCTCCTCAGTATCCAAGGGCTCAAACACATCTTCCAGGTGAAGCAGAGCTTTACCTGCACTTCATTCAATCTAGTCTACAGCATTCGCTGTTCACAATTTGGTCTCCTCTACACTGGGGAAACAAACCATAGACTGGGTGACTGCTGCGCAGAAATGACCCAGAGCTTCCTGTTGCCTGCCACTTCAACACGCCACCTTGTTCCCTGGCTAATCATCTCTGTCTCAGGCTTGCTGCAGTGCTCCTACAAAGCTCAGTGCAAGCTGGAAGAATAGCACCTCATTTTCCTCTAACTCTAACCCTAACCCTAACCCTAACCCTAACCCTAACCCTGCAGCCTTCTGGACTCAATAAAATTTTAGGGTTTGAGACACATTGTCCCATATCCTACACCCAACTCCCACACAACAGGCATTATTCTAATAGGGTCTGCTATTACACACAGCCCATTGGTGGCCACGAATATTTAGCAGCTATTCATTTTCCTAAGCAGCTCGTAATCCACTCTTTTGTCTGTCCAACAGTTTTTCATTCTCTTTGGGCCCTATCTCCATCTATCATTCACTCCTCACCTCTTCTCCTAACTTCTGTGTAAAAACCAACCTTTCTCTCACTAACATCAGTTCTGAGGAAGGATTACTGGACCAAGTAGTTAACTCTGATTTCTGAGATATACTGCGCTTTTCCAGCAATTTGTTTTTGTTGCTTCTCATGCTTTCCAATTTCCTATGTATTGCTCCCCTGTCCTGACCTCTTCCCCTGTCATGATTTCTTCCTACCCAGTTAGGATCAGTCCACTGACATCTTCTGTCACCCCTCCCCAGTACAAGTCTCTTTGTTCTTGTCCTGATTTCTCTCCCTCTCCCCCGTCCCAGTTTCGCCACCCCTTGTTCTGATCTCTTCACAGCCCTAGGCCAAGTCCAAGTCTCCTTGCCCCTTGTCCTGATCTCCCTCCCACACCCAAACTCTTTGCCTTTGTCCAGATCTCTTCTCTCACCCTGACTTCCAGTCTCTTTGCCCCTTGTCCTGATCACTCACACTTACCTCCATCTCAGTCACTTCACACCCCACCCTCCCCTGACCCTGATCTCTCCATTAACTAGTCACAATCTTTTTAGAGACAAAACAGTGCAGGCGCTGGATTCCAAGGTAGACAAACAGGTAGCTGGAAGTACACAGCAAGCCAGACAGCATCTGGAGGTAAGAAGTCATTGTTTTGGGTATTACCTTTCTTCAGGATATTTTACCTCTTTTTTCCTGATCTATCCCCCTCCCTAGTCCAAATCTCTTTGCCCGCTCTCCTTATCTCTCCACACCTCCACCCCCCAGTCCCAGTGTCCTCATCTCTTGTCCCAAACTCTCCCTCCCACTCCCAGACCCAGTCTCTTTGCCTCTAGGCCTGACCTCACCATCCCCTCAGTCCAGACTCTTTGTCCCTGGACCTGATCTCTCCACCCCACCCACAAGTCCCAGATATTTTGCCTCTTGCTTTGTCTCCACCACCCATCCAACCCCATTTCCCATCTGAGATAACAAGGTGTAGAGCTGGATGAACACAGCAGGCCAGGCAGCATCAGAGGAGCAGGAAGGCTGACGTTTCAGGCCTAGACCCTTCTTCAGAATCTCCCATCTCTTCGATCAAACCCCACTCTGCTGTGTTCCAGAATTCCTAGAATCATAAAGTGTTATTTGATGCTGAGAAGGTTGGATTCAAAGTTAAGTGAATACTTAAGGAAGAAGCTACCAATCTCTCAAGCCCAGATAATGAAACCAACATTTAAATAAAAGTTATATCAGTGACAGAGATGGCAATTCTCTGGTGTGTGAAGGTATGCCATTGGGATGGATGTAGTGTTGTCTGTTTACTGTGTGTGTTAAAATCTTTCAAAGTGTGTTACTTGTGCGTAGCTTGATTTA